CGTTCATGTAACGTTCGTGTAACGGTTGCTCGATGTTAGCAACGTCCACACCGCGTGAACATAACCTGCAGCACGTGCAACCGGGCCCCGCAGGTGAAAACGTGTCTGCTACAGTAACTATACGACATGTGGCACATTTCGTTGCTACGGAGCCGAGTAATAGTTAATAGTTCCGGCTAACATAACTCTGAATGACTTACCCAGAGTTAGAGGCGCACGTCGCCTTGATGGAGTGGATCCTGAGCTTGTTAGCGACGTCTTTCAGCCCCTGCAGGGTCTTCTCGTCGGGTTTGTGGTAGCTAGTCATGGTTTCTGGATTGTTTTAGGGAGAATGGCGACCGCTTGAATGGTTAATTTGGGTTATTTCAGTCACACAAGTCGTTTCCAGGTGTCGTAAGTTCAATGCTGCGCCACGCCGCTGCTAGCTGCCCGGTGAAAGTACAACCGAGGAGGAGGAAGGACAGAGGATGGGGACTTATGTCTCCTCACAGCCACTCCCACCCAAGTTAATCCAATCATTTGCAGGGACAGTTGTGGTGTTAAGTTGCGCAGGACAGGTTGCTTTCACAAATCTTGTTCAGCTCATGAAAGATAAAAATCTTATCATTTAAATTATCCAATCACCACAATGTGAAGAACTGTAGTTTTTTCTGGCTTTGTTATGAATTTAATACAACGACAGAAATTGCATCCACCACTTTTAACACTAGTGAGTAAGACTAAGAATAAAATGCAACAGTATAATGCTGAAGTGGAAATGTTATTGACAACTTAAAACTATGTCTGACCACTAATGATCAGAATTAATTATGATATATATATATATGATATAATGTGCATAATTAGCCCTTTTTGGACACCACACTGTAACTGCACTGTTTTCCCACACATATACATCTCATGTCACTGTCCCTTTAAAGCTACAGCTGGATGGCTGCCAATAGGGAAATGCTGCCTGCCGATTTTGCCCTCTCATTCTTACTCAGGGAAACACAAGGTTCAATACTCCCTCATTTCTTATTCCTTAGTCACTGACACGCTGCTTTGTAACGCCAGCTAATTACCTGTATTTGCACATGCCAACAGACGAATCAGAAATAACATTTTCATTTCATTTTATTGTTGACAAAAACAGATAATTGGTTTAAGAACATGACTTATGTACAAATGTGTGTAAGAGACAAAGTGCATCATACAAGTGAGGTGTATCTCTATCAGCATATACATTACTTTTCATTAAACCAATCACAGTCACCCACTTATACACACCAGGCCTGTATTTTCAAGGAAGTAAAACACTTCCTCATTTTTGACATCATTACAGATCTTTGGGCTCAGATATTTCCTCTTCTCTAAGTTCCTGAAATGACATACATGACATTAGGACAAAGGGGCAGCTTTTGTCGGACCATGCCACGCAGAGAATTGTTATCTTTACCTTGATTCTCTCCTGGGCCTCAACCCTCTCCTCATGGGAGATGGGATCTTTTTCAAGTCGCTCCAGCTGCGGCAGGAGAATCAGTACACTCAGCCGGTAGTCTGTCGTTTCCACCAGAGGATTCTCAGAAAGCACCAAAGCTCGCAGAGTTTCTGACAAAAACCGGAGGCACTGCAGGGCATTCTCATCTAGGATGGCATTGCCTCTAAGACGGAGACATAAGTGTGTTCAGTGTTTTACTGAATCAAATGATGGGAACCACCACTGTCTCTCCTTTTTGTGATAAACTGTGTACCTGATGTTGAGATATTGGAGACACTTCATGTTGGGGCTGAGGCCATCCAGAGAATCTAGCTGGTTGTCTCGAAGGTGAAGGATGGTGAGGCGCTCTAACTTCTCTAAACCCTCCAGACGTTTGATTGCATTTTGGGCCTGAATGGAGGGCAAGAATAGTTACAGGCGGTCTGATCTCTGGGTCATTTCATGGGTATTAAAGGACCAGTGTGTAGGATTTAGTGGCATTTGGCGGTGAGGTTGGAGGTTGCAGCGAACTAAATACAGCTTGCTTGTCAAGTGTGTAGGTGGCCGTAAAACCTGCGCAAAATGTGAAAGGCCCTCTTCAAGTGTTTGGTTTGTCCGTTGTGGGCTTCTGTAGAAACAAGGTGGTTCAACATGCTGGACTCTTTAGAAGAGGGCCCACTCCCTCTATGTTATTTTAAGGTAAAAACACTTTTAATTATAATTAAACACTAATAAAAACATACCTATGCATATTATATTCCACCACTGCCAATAGATCCTCCTAAATGTTACACACTGAACCTTTAATAATGGCATTAATGGATCAGCCTCAACCAAATCATAGTACTTTCATTACCAAATATAATTTCCGTAGGTTTGGAAGGCTGATGCCACCAGTGGTGTCCAACTGGTTTCCTCTCAGCTCTAGAGTTACCAGGTTGGCAAAACAGCCGCTCTGAAGATTCGCTCTCTGAATACCGTTACCTGCCAGAAAGGTTTAAAACATCCAGTCAAGGCCTTTTTCCACATAATACATTAGGAACCAGATATTTGATTAAAACCTGGCTGATGGATAAGAGTTTGTTATACCTAAGACTGAATAGTAACACATTGGATAGTAAAACCCCTTCTGATACAAACTTTCTTACGTCTTGTTATCATTTCTCTAAAGTCAAATACCAGTGGTAGTTCCTCATTTGCCTGACATCACTTGAGGAAACTCCAGAGTAGCTTAATACATTATCAGTCATTCACATGGTATCATAAACAGCACTTATCCTGACATAAACCTGTAAGATTGAGACTCTCCAAGGAAGGACCGACCAGCCCGTCCAGGTCCGTTAGCCGGTTCACGGTCATACTCAACCACTGCAGGTAGGGTAACTGAGAGAAAGGCTGCCCTTTGAAGTATGCCACCGCATTACTGTCGACCTACAGAAGACGAGTTTCATTCAAGATTTAGTGTGAATGATATTGACAGCCTTGTTGATGTGCTTTTTCTAAATGAGTAAACACGAGAGCTCCTTGCCTTCAGCCAGAGCAGCTGGGTCAGAGACGCCAGAGGAGAAAGATCAGTGAGGTGGTTGTTGGATAAATCCAGAAAACGTATGTGAATGAAACTGCTGACTGCAGCGACGTCACTCAGTCCTCTGAGGAGTAGAAGTGATGACAAAGGGTAAATTAGTATAAAGTCAAACACATAGGCACAGTTAAAGGAGCATAAGCTGAACTTCAAGTTACAGAGCAAAGGTCGACAATTTGCTTTGAGTATATTTTTTTTTTGCCCCCTTACTTGTCTTTTAGGTCCAGTTTGACAAATGCATGTCCAAGTCCATTTCCTGTTCGGCACAGCAGTGAGAGTCCCTGACCTATGGTTTCTTGGGTCAAATGGCAAACCTGGACCTGTGAGATGGAACATATCAAAGGATTATTTTAGTCCGAATTGTTGGTAGTATTAACTCAAAGGGGATTACAGGACCTCACCAATGTTTCTGTACGGGACCCAGCCCAAACACTAGCCACCCGTGGAACTTTTTTGCCATAAAAGTGGAGCCTCGCATGTAGATTACTTACAAATTATGCTCACTCCAAACTTAAATACCCATAACCTGAAGTTGTTCATTGTTTGTGGGGTTTTTGGGAGCAAAATGCAGCTTTCAGGGGCAAAAAAGTGGTTGGTTTACTTTTAGGATTAGATAATGCAAGCCCCTTCCAGAGACCCCATCCTTTCCTTAAATGTTGAGGGTTAAACGGCATACTCCCAACTAGCATTTAATGCATTTTGTGACATTTTTCGTGACCTGGAGTCCTCTGGGACCTTAAAGTGAAAGAAGGAGTGCGAGGAAGACTTGACCAACTCAAAGACATGACCTTACTTATGATTAAGATAGGTCAGTGGTTTTCAAATTGGGGTCCTTGAAAAGGTTCCAGGGGGTGCGAAGCAAAAGGGAATCATTTATTTTCACTATAAGGACAAAATTCATGACTATTTTGGTCATGGGTTTAATACACTTGATGTAATAAACCATCTTAAAGAAAAAACCCTTTCTGATGGGGGACCCTGGAACAGAAAGTGGTGTAATTGGTGTCAGTTCATTGAAAGGAGTTTAAAAAACCACTGGGGTAGTTAATGGGTTGAGACCAGGGATTTTAATGGGAATAGGAGAGACTTTAGTTACTCCACCAGTACAAACCTGTCCTCTGTGGTAGCAGGTCGCACTACTGTAAAACAAGTGGGCCGAACACAGTTACTGTCTATATTTAGTCACAAGTAGTCCCCCACGTTTCTAATATACCTTCTCGTCCTCTCCGACTCCCTTGTGGGCTTCTTCCTCTCCCTCTAACGTTACATCCGACAAGCCCACATCTTCTTCCACCTCGGACATCCTGCTCGGTTCGGCCAGTAGCGGTACGGCGTTAGCTGTTAATAATGTTTACCTGACTGGCGTTAGGTGAGCTACTAACGTTACTACCTCAGCTTTGTAACTTTACAAACCAGTATAAAGACCAAGCAACGTTAACTCACCACGTAAACTAAAGCAGTAAGGTTAGTTAGTGTTCGCTCTTTGATAAAGCTGACTGCAGTTTGAGTCTGACGGTCCCTACGAACAAACCGCGTTTGTGGTTGTTGCCATGGGAACTCTTCAGCGGCAAACCAGCACAACAAACTTCCAGTGCAAACAAATGCGCTTTGTAAGAGCTGTACAGTGTCTGCAGGTCAAGATGTTGCATTACACACCTCACAGCAAGAGTTACATTATATTCCTCTTTTTTTTTTTTTTAACCACCGTTTTGCAAAAACACTGCTTTGGAAATTTCAAGTTAAATGTTGAAATATTAGTTACAGTTTACTGGCTTTGCCCACACAAGACATCAATCATAGAGATTGCAGAAAATGTGTTATTCTTAATTATTTTACATGAGCTTGATGAAACACAGTCACATTATTGAACACATACAGAAATAAAAAATTACTTTCTCCAGACATAACTATGTATTACATTGTGAATTCATACCTGCAATATGACAAACAGAGTCACTTTTCATCTACACACTAGTGTTAGTGTGGCTCTGTACAGTTTATGAGGGCACAGTCTCTTTTTAAAATGTATACACAGTTCATGCCCAGATCAGTCATTCACTGAATGACATGGCATATAGCATTAAATTAAAAAAAACTCTATGGTGCATAGACATTAATATTAGAAAATCCCATTTGCTGCCATAAAGATCTACTGATCTTTCATTTTCCTACAGCAAATGTTTCCCAACCACATAAAGCTTGTTTATCACTCACACACACACGCGCACACACACACACGCTCTAAAGCAAGTGAGAACTCAAAACTGCATCATTCAGGAATAAAGCAAAAAAAGTGCATTCTGTGCAATATCCTGACATCCACTGCTACAGGATCAGTTCATATGAGTGTATTACCACTGTTGAGGTAATTGTAATGTCAAACCAAAATTAAGAGATTTATCTTTAGATATCTACACAATGTTAA